TCTCACGGTCTCTCCTGCCCGGGCTGGCTTTGAACCGCGATCCTCAGATCTCAGCCTCCTGAGTAGCTAGGATTACAGGCGTGAGCCACCAGCGCCCGGCGTCCCAGGCTGGTCTTGATTATAGGAGTAGCCTGGGATTATAGGAGTGTGTCACCATGTCCAGGTTCCCCACCTTAGATTTAAGTAGAGTAATATACTGCTTTTGATTTGAAAGTCTTGCAAGTATGGAATAAAGCAGATTATAATTAATGGATCTTAAACTTTTTTATTTATATATTTGCCAATATAGAAAATATTTAGAAAATGGAATATAAGGAAAAATATGGGAAGAACTCAGTTGTTATTTGTGGAGAAAAAAAACTCCACAATATTCACCCAATAATTTTTCAGATGTTTGTACAAGAGTTTCAATTTAACATATTACTGTTCTAATTATAAAATGAGAACCACTTGTTGTATTTTCCCTACAATCATGAATTCTGCATGCCTCAATTAATAATCCTAAAAAACTTAACTTTCTTCTCATGTCAGTTCTTCTATATAGAAAAATAATCTGCAGATTTGATATTCTAATAAAGAATATCTTTGTAATTTTTATCTTTTATATAATGTACACCCACCTTTTGTGCTTTTGGGGTTAAATTTGGGAAATCTTTTTTTCCACATCATAAAGTTATTTTTCTGTTTTGTCTTCTATGAATTTAGAATCTGAGTTGCTGAGACTCACCTCTACATTTAGTATTAAGTAAGGATCCATTTTTGTCCCTCTACATATAGAGAGCTTGTCTTTTTTCCAGCCATTTATGGGATATCTTAATTATACAGTAGGTCTTCATGTATGCTGGATGTATCTCAGGATTCTCTATTCTGTACTGTTCTTTCTTTTTTTTTCCTTCATATACCAGTATCATGGAACTAATTCCCCTTTTTTCTTAGTTTATTCTGAGTTAGCCTTTTTTTTTGCTGGTCCTGGGCTTGAACTCAGCTTGGGTGCTGTCCCTGAGCCTTTGTGCTCAGGGCTAGCGCTCCAGCCACAGCTCCACTTCCAGCATTCTCTGGTTAATTGGAGAAAACAGTCTCTCAGATTTGTCCATCCTTGGCTGGCTTTGAACTGTAACCCTCAAGCCTCCTGATTATCTAGGATTACAGGTATGAGCCACTGGTGCCCTTTGAGTGTACTATTTTTGAACCATTATTCTTTTGAACATGTTTGTAAAAAGTTTGAGTTAGGTTGAGTGGAAGTCTTTAATAATGTTAAACTGACCAGTTCCACACCAGAAATGCCTCATTACTTCAGATCCTATTTTTATTTAACAGTTTAAATTTTTTCTCCAATTTTTAAGTCTTGCTTAACTAGTTCCTAAATGCTTTATGGTTGCAGTTAGGAATGGTGCCCTACCCCACACACAACTATTTCTGCCATTCCTGGGGCTTGAACTCAGGTCTAGGCTCTGTCCCTGAGCCTCTCTGTGCCCAAGGCTAGTGCTCTATCACTTGAGCCACAGCATCACTTCTGGTTTTTTCTGAGTGGTTTATTGGACTTTTCTGCCTGGACTAGCTTTGAACCATGATCCTCAGATCTCAGCCTCCTGAGTAGCTAGGATTACAGGTGTGAGCTACTAGTGCTAGTTGATCTTTTATCTATATACCTTGCTAAATGCTTAATTGCTTTTAATAATCAGCGATACTATGTGACTATTTTTAAACTACATACAAATAATGATGTTTTGTTTCTTGTCCTCAACTCTTATTTCTTGTGCTTGTTTTTCTCCTTTCCTTTCCTCTTTTCTTCCTTTTTTTTTTTTCATAATAGTGGCCAGGCTTGTTAAACAAAGAGAGGTCAGTGGGCATTCTTATCTTGTTTTTCTGAATTTAAAGAAGGTTCTGCCCTTCACTGCAAGGTCACATCTATTTCTTTCTCAATTCTCTGTGCTTACCTTGGTTGGTCCCTACAGTACTTACCACTGGAAATCTCTGATTCTTGCCGCTGTGCCTCCCCCCCCACCCCCTGCTTTTCTGCTCCTTTTCTGGGCTAGTCTTCAGCTAGTCTTCATGGCATTTTGAGCCTTTGCTCTCAGGATGACCTTCCTGCTACTGTAGCTCTCTATGACTTCTCGCCCCTTGCTAAGTCATACATGTTGGCACTCCTCTCCAGCTTCCACAATCACTGACTTGGTTCAGGCTGCTATCCTGTGATCTGTACTCCTGCAGCTGGTAGTCCTCCTCCCACCCCGTTTCCTGAAGCTTTAATCATACTAGAGGCAGCAGCAGCTCTCTTAGCCTACATTAGTGGCTCAAGCCTTTTATCCTAGCCCCTCAGAAGGCTGAGATCGGAGGATCCTGGTTTGAAGTCAGCCCTAGTAGAAAAGTCTATGAAGACTCTTACCTCCAATTAAACTATAAAGCCAAAAGTGGAGTCCATATGGCTCAAGTGGTAAAGAGCCAGTCTTGAGCGAAAAAGCCAAGCGACATTGCCCAGGACCTGAATTCAAGCCCTAGTACAACTACAAAACAAAATTATACAAGGAGGGGGATTTCATTGTGACATTTCCACAAATGTATACAATTTATTCCAATCACTCTCCCCTGCTTCCTAATAAAATTTCAATTTTTGTCCTAGTCTCATACTTTGTGACAACAATCTATTTTGATCATATTTGTTCTTTTTCACCCTTGTTAGCTCTACCTGCTCACTAGTGCCCCCCCCCACAGCAATCTGCTACTCTTGCTTTTCCCTCCCTAATCCCGTTGATAACACCTTTCATCAACGTTCTTGATGCTGTTAACACATATAGTTATAATATACTGAAAATTATTCACCTTGCAACTAAACTCTTTATTCCTCTGAAACTGCTGCTGTTTCTTACAAACAAAAGTCTTTATCTCCAACATTTCTCCTTCCACATTATAAACTTATCTAAACATGGTTCCTACTCCAGTAAATGCTACAACAAAGTGCCTCAGACTGGGCTGTTTACACACATTTATCTTTATACACTTTTGGAGGCTGGGAAGTAGAGGCAAGCAGTGTCTGGTGAGGACTGCTTCCTGGATCACAGCCAGCCATCTTCTGTGTCCTCACCTGGTAGCAGAGGCAAGGGAGCTCCTGGAGGGAGGACACGAATCCCATTCTGGACACTTCTTTCTTTTTTCTTTTTTTTTGGGCCCAGTTGTGGGGCCTGAACTCTGGGCCTGGGTGCTGTCCCTCAGCTCTTCAGCTCAAGGCTAGCGCTCTACCACTTGAGCCAAGCACCACTTCTGGCTTTTTTCTTTTTGTTTATGTGGGGCTGAAGAATCGAACCCAGGGCCTCATGCATGCAAGGCAAGAGCTCTACCACTGAGCCACCTTCCCAGCCTCTGGACACTTCCTTCTTACAACCTCTAGCCTCCTAATACCATTGCACTGGGGGTTAGGATTTCAACATTGGAATGGGAAGAAACACAACCATTCATTCTATAGTATGATGTCAGTCTCTTAGCAGAATCCTTTAATGAATGGCAGACAAAGGCCCAAATTCTACATTTAGCCAAATCTGTTTGATCTGGGCCTTGTGCCTCCGCTGGCTCCCTTAGCTCTTCCTTCCTTCCCTTCTCTAGTCTCTGTCAGGGCATCCCTTTTCCCTCCCCAGGACCTTCATGCCTGT